GTTCACATTACTTGCTTCTGTTGATTTGCCCAAAAGGTTCTCAGGTTCAGCCTCCTTGGGCGTGCACTGTAATCTGTGCAGACAGACTTATCACACTTTTGCCCATTTTATAGATGAAGAGACAGAGTCAGGAAGGGGTAGTGGGTAAGGTTACAGAGCAGTTTGATGGCAGAGTAGGGGGCTAGACAGACCCCAGACCTGACTTCTACCCCTGGTCCTGGCCATGGGCTCTCAAATAGGCCAGCACCAGCTTCATACCAGGAAGTCCCAAAAGTATGGAGGCCAAGAAACTGACTGCACCAGGTTCTTTTCCCAAGAGCTCTCGAGTCTTCCTCCCCATGTGGAGGTAGGGGGCCAGCGCACCCTCTGCCTCCCGTATCTCTACCTCTAGGCACTCCAGGACCTCAGCGCAGGTTGGTCACTCACAGGGTCTGCAGTCAGAGGTCTGAGCCTCTCCCGCTCAAATCTCAGGCCTCTATTTAGGCTATTCCCTGTACCTGAATGTTCCTGCCTACCCTGCTAACTCCTATTCTTTCAAGGTCCAGACTGAATGTCTCCTCTTTCAGGAAACCTTCTCTGATCCTAGGGTGATGAGGTTCCTCCACCCTCACCTTCGCGTTTCCACAGTTCCTCTTGCTTCCTTCCCTGTCATTGCTCAGATGCACTGTCATCTTGTATACATTCCCCCGGTCTCACTTCCTCAAAAGGTCTATGCCTGACATGCAGGAGATGCTCAGTCAATAAACTGAAGGGCCCATGCCCCAAGTCCCCACTGCTGTGAAGCCTTCCTGCATGCCCCTGAGGTAGGTCTGCCACTCTCCACTGTGTGCAGGGCCTGTTGCACATGTCACGCAGGACAAATGACAAGGACAAACATGACCACCACAAGTTATAGTTTATAAAGCACTTTCCACTCATATTAACTCTAACTCTCACATCTTTGAGAATCCAAGGATTTTGACCACATTTTCCAGATATGGGAAGTGAGATCCCCACAGAGGAAGTGAGGCACCTAGTCATGTCCCAGAAAAAAGGCAGGACTGAGATTCTGACTCTCGTGCTTCTAAGCTCTGGAAGCAATGAGGCAGACCATGGTGAGCCTGGCTCCACTCACTTGGCACTCAGCTCCAGAGCCAGCTCTTTGCCAGACTGTGGGTATCTCCAGAACAGGGAATAGCTACAACCCCTGTACCCAGCACAGAAGGGTACAGTACAGAGGTAGCCTGAGAAAGGCTCAAGAAATCACACTGAAGTTAAAAGCAGGGCATCCTGCCAAGAAAATCAGGGCAGTCTCATCAATGATTCATTCATTCAACAAATATTTACTGAGTACCTACTACCTGCTATGCACTGTGCTGGATGCCAGAAACATAACACTGAGAAAGACTGAGAAGGTCCCTGTACCCAAGGGGCTGATATTCTTATGGGGGAGACAATTAGTTCCACAAACAAGTACACATGATAATTTGGGTAATGATAAGTGCTACAAAAGTAAAACAAGATGTGGTGATTGGGGGTGAATCTCTCAATGGGGCAGCCAGGGAAGGCCTCTGAGAGGAGAACTCAATGTTCAGAATCCAGCTTTACAAAGATCTGAGCAGAAGGGTGGCCCACACAAAGGCCAAGATGAGACTAAATCAGAGCAATGCCATTGGACCAGGCAGACCACCGTGTGGGTAGGAAAGGGCATTGTAAAGCAGCAGGGTTGCCCATGTGGGGTTTCACAGTCTGAAGGCTTAGCTCACATGGTAGCCAAGGCTCTGGGGGCTGCTGGTGTGGCTATCCACCAGGGCAAGCTGGGGGCACCTCCTCAAAAGGCTTGAGAAGGGATGAACTGTCACTCTCTCACAGAGACTAAGAGGGAACTTCGTGCATTCAGCAAAGCATTGAGCACCTAGCTTAGGCATACAGATCCTGTGCTCAGCCCTCTGTGACCTCACCACACTTCTCCTGGTTTAAGGAGGCAAGCCAAGACTGGGTTCTTATCTGGTTTTGCTAACCCTGAAAAAGTCTCTTCACTGTGGGGACCTCAGTGTTCCCACCTGGAACATGAGGGTTGGGCCAGATCCAGCACTAACAGTTATGTTTTTATGACTCAAGTACTTGCTGCAGAATTTGGGGGCAGGAGGGGAGTGGTGGAGCAGGATTTCCACACCAGCCACCACGTCACTCAGCCTGCTAATAAAATATCACTCTTGGCCCTTCTTTCCCAGCCCAGATGAGCTCTTGGTAACACAACCTGACAGTGGTGTCTATATAGCTGGGGAAGAGATGAAGAGGAGAGGGAGGCTACATAGAATTGAAGGAGGGAGGGCACATGAAGAGTGATGTTCTCATTCTGTGATTGAGGACTGGCCTAGGCGCCTGTCAACCCTCAGTTCCAGAGTTGTCCCCAACAATCTACACATTTAGTTTCAAGCACATCCTCACCCACTCCAACCTGCTACAATCCTCAACAGCTGTTAGAAAGGATTCCTCCAGTACATAAAAACTTAATAATACATATACATAATCCCACCCTGTTTCTGGCCTTGCTCTTTGGAGCAACACACAATAAATCAGCTGAGAATTTTACTGGGACCACTACCATCTCATGCTGGGTCCTGTGCTGAACCCTGAGGATATAGGCAGGTGGGTGAATAAAGAGCCCAGTCCAAAGGCAAAGAAAGGAATGCAGATGGACAAGCTTCCAAGCCTCCACAGGACAGTCCTTCAGAGATTAGAAAATACCAACACAGACTTCCCCCTTCCCCTGGCAGGCACTACCCACCCATGCTCCCACAGCTGACCTTTTCTTTTAACCAAGAAACCAGATGCCAAGGTATCTATTCAATCTCTCACCTATCATAGGATTTCCCTTCACAGAATCCATGGTCTCTCTTTGAATATCGCCACTGACAGCGTGTTCACCACCTCACAACAGTGGGATCTTATCCGCAGAGGCAAACTAGGCCACTGGGGAGTGTCTTCAAGGACCAAGGATGTAGAAAGCAGGTCTAATGGAGATGCCCAGATAACACAAATTTGCTTCAGCACCCTCCCTCCCTTACCCCACCCAGTCTTTCACCAAAGTAGACTGCAGCAAGGTAAACTGACTGGTTTGCATTTCATACCAGCCCTTCCTACATTCTATGATGTAACTCCTTGCACCCAATAAGGAAAAGACATGTTTTCAGGATCTAATAACATGGGGAAATGCTCCTGATATAATACTAGGGTATTAAGCGACTTAGTTAAAACTGTTTGCTAGAGTACAAATTCTCCTGAGTAACAAACTCCAGGGTCACTGGCCCTTGGAAGACTCAGTTCACAGACAGTGGACAGCAGAGCCAAGGGAAGGGCATCTCGAGGAAGAAGCACTATAGATAGCATCTCAATCCCATTACCTAGAGCAAAAATATTTTAAAAGCAGAAACATGGTAAAGTCCCTTCCTTTCCTGTTAAGGACATCAAGGGGCACAAGGGAATGGAAAAGGACTTGTAAAATGAGACAAGGGACTGTCAGAGGCTTTGGGGTTGGGGGTACAGGGCAGCTCAAGCTGCCTGCCCCAAGATGGCCACAGCAGCTCGATACTTCTCCAAGGGCCATGAGCAGCCCAGACCAAGAGGGGAAGATAAGCACAGTGATAATCATATCACTGTGAGCAATGTCAATGCCCAGGACACAGTTAATCTGTGATGCAGCTTTAGGCTGGGTTGCTCCATAGCCACTAGAATACTATAAATGACTTTCATTAACAGAAAGAATACTCATGATGTAACATTAAGAGAGAAAAAAACAAGATTCAGAACAGCATATGTTCAATTTTATCTATAAAATGTGTGTAAAGAAAATAATAAAGAAATACACTAAAATGCTAATAGGAAGCTATCTTTGGATAGTCAATTTCCCAGCAATTTTCACTTTCTTCTTGTCTATATTGTTCAAAATTCCCATAATTAGCACATTTTATTTTTATAACAAGGTGGGTGGAGTAGGTGATTGTTAGTAACTAAAGAAAAAATTCCAAGTCAAAGAGACTCAGCAAGCAGTACAAAGGCTTAGGAGGAGGGAGAGAGGCTTTATGCAAAACAAACACTCAGACCAGGACGGCCTGAAGACTTCCCAGGTCTCCCATCTGGGATTTGTGTTTAATCCCTTGGTAAAGGCATCTGCTGAAAGAAAACCATGGGCATGCTCTCTTCCACCTCAGTTTCCCCCAATACAGGTTAAGAGATGTGGGGGTGGAAAGGATGCTCTTCCTTGCTTGTGAAAAACTGTGGAGATTGATCTCAATTTTGCCTGATTCACTGAGGGCCTCAGTTGGACCCTGGAGGACATTCAGGGTTCTCCACGCTACCTTCTGAAATATGCCAGGCTCAGATTTCCTGTGGAGTGGGCTTCTGAGCCTGGGTTGGAGGACGGGGGTGGAAGGGTGTCACACCTGTCCCAGCCAGGTATGTTCCCTGGAGATTGCAAAAGCCTTGCCACCTGCTCCATCCAGTCTCTCACTGCCAAAGCTTGTTCCACCTGCTGAAGGGTAGCGAACTGCCAGGAACAGAACTGGGGGTTGGAGAGGAGTTTTTGAATATCTGTAATAACTGAAAAGGGTGGGTGGTATTACTCCTACATCACAAATGAGGGGAACAAGCCGGAGAAGGGGAAGTAATGCAACAGAGGTAGCAAAAATTGATGAATGCCAGAGTGGAAAATGAACCTGGATATGACTGCGATGCCAGGCTGCCTGAATAGGATTAGGTAGGCATTATTTTTCCCTCAGCCCCGACCCAAATGATGAGAGAGTAGGAGAGTGAGAGGAGCGAGCTTCTCCAAAAGAAAAGGAATTGAGACCTCAACCTGCAGGGGCAATTCCTCCAGCAACGTGCGCTCTTCTCATGAACACCCACTAGCCTGCCACAGAGCCCCTTGCGGAAAACATTGCAGGTTCATAACCCCAGGATGACAGCCCCAAGGCCCTGCAGACCCCTATACCGTGACAGCTCACCCCACAGACACTCACCCCATCTCCCAGATCCCTCACGTGATAGCGCTGATCCTCCTTTCGGGCTCTTACTCCGGGCAGCCTCGGCCCGGCGCTCACCTCGCAGGACCCCAGAGTAGGCGGCTATGAGGGTCTTCATGCTGAAGCCGGTACAGGTCACGGCCCTGCCGGAAGCCGCCTTACCCCGCGCCCCTGGCCCATGCCCCGGCCGCCGGGGCCAGGGCTTCGCGCAAAGCACGGGAGCCCCGGAACGGCGCCGGAGAGGGGCCGGCTACTGTACACGGAGCGGGAGCGGGCGGTCCGTTGCGGCGCCAAATGAGCAGCCGAAAGCAGAGCCGCGGCGGCAGCCACTGCGCTCGCCCGCGGAGCGCCGCACTTTATAACCTCACAACGGGGCGGGCCGCGACGCGGACGGGGCGGGGTGGGCCGTTCCAACCCGCCGCCGCACCGCCGCCTCGAGGGGGGAGAGCGCCCGAGCCTTGGCTCCGCGCGGGCCCAGGGCCACACCGGGGGCCTGCTCCACACGGATTAGGTGGAGTCGTATGTGACGTGAGCTCCGATTCCCCGCTCCAGGGCGTGCCTGGTTACTACTGCCCGCCCTTCAGTTCTCCCCTAGGACGCCCCCCCCCCCGAGATTGGTACGGCCGGCAGCTAGAACGTGGGCCGGGAAAAGTGAGCACGTGCAGGGCAGGCAGAGGGCGTGCGAGGGCCTGTGTTTGGCCTCTTTCGGCCGGGCTCTCTTTTGGTTCCTGACGGGAACATTTCTCATGTGGTCAGTGGTGTACATCAGGATCAGTTAGGTTAGGGCTCGGCTCCTAAACCACTGCAGATGCCCCTGACTTTCCAGCTGTTCATCAAGAAACCTCACAGAGGCTCGGCACCCGTAGCTCAGTGAGTAAGGCGCCGGCCACATTCACGGAGGCTGACAGGTTCGAGCCCAGCCCAGGCCTGCTAAACAACAATAAAAACTGCAACCAAAAAAATAATAAAATAGCCAGGTGTTGTGGCGGGCGCCTTTAGTCCCAGCTACTTGGGAGGCTGAAGCAAGAGAACTGTGTAAGCCCAAGAGTTGGAGGTTGCTGTAAACTGTGACGCCACAGCACTCTACCCAGGGCAAAAGCTTGAGACTCTGTCTCAAAAAAGAAAAAAAAAAGAAAGAAAGAAAAAGAAACCTCACAGAGCATCCTTGCTGGGTACTGGGGACCCGGCCAGATCAGCCCAGGCTCTGCCCTTGGGCTGCTCATATTGATGAGGGTCTTGAGAGGTGGCAGAAAGGCCACACCAGACACTGGCAACAACACTGGGACAAGAAAGGAGCTGGAGGACTATGGGACCACAGAGGAGAGCGTACCCTGCCCTGGGTTAGGGTGTGGGTGTACTTCCCAGAGAGACAGATGCACAGCAGATTTGGAATCAGACAGACCTGGAGTCCCATTCCTGCCCTACTTTCCTTGAGGCTCATTTTCCATATTTGTAAAATGTGAATAATAACTATTAATTTGTGATGTGCTTTGAGAAGTAAAGATAAGGTATGAAAAAAATCCTAGGTAGTGGCTTGGGGCCTGTAGTTCAGGCGGCTAAGGTGCCAGCCACATACACCAGAGCTGGTGGGTTCAAATCCAGCCCAGGCCTGCCAAACAACAATGACAACTACAACAGAAAAATGGCCGGGCACTGTGGCAGGTGCCTGTAGTCCCAGCTACCTGGGAGGCTGAGGCAAGAGAATCACATAAGTCCAGGAGTTGATGGTTGCTGTGAGCTATAACACCATAGCACTCTACCCAGGGCGACAGCTTGAGACTCTGTCTCAAAAAAAAAAAAAAAAAAAAAATCCTAGGTAGTGTCTAAAACATGAAATGTTCCAAAGTATTTTTATTGCCTATTAATGAGTAGGAATTTTGCTAAAGTGAGGGGGATATGAGGCCTGATCTAAGGAAGGTCTGTGAATGCCACTCTTGTGACATCAGGGTAGGAATGGGGTTCTTGAGAGAGCTTTAGTAGGGAAATGACAGTGGTCACATGACTTTTAAGAGCCCACTAGCCACAGCGGGGAAATGGACAAGACAGGACAGATTTCATGGGCATTGGCTGAGCAAGCTAGTTGTGGGTCACAGCATGAGGAGAGGGATTCTCCGCCTTTGCGGTCTTTACCAGCACTTCACAGGGGGAGGGGAGAATGACAGACATCAATCACAGTCACAGCAGCATCTGACAAATGCCACTAATAAAACCTAGAAACACTTCCATGTGTTCAACCTTCTCAAGGCCACAGGATTAAACCTCATTGAGAAAATGTTACTGAGTCATAAGTTGGCCGAAAGTAGAAAGAAAAAGCACCCTAGGCAGAGGTCCCAGTGTGTGGTGAGGCCCTGAGGCTGGGAAGGACTAGTCCTTTTTAGGAAACTGAGGGACAGCTAGTGGCCCACATGTGAGGGGGAACCATGAGGGACTGGTATATGCAAAAGCTGGAAGGTAGAAACAGGTGTAACATATTTGGGGGCAAACAGGTATAGCCAGGTTGATATCAATTATGCCAGTGAATGCTTGCATCATCTCTTGAGAGAGGGTAGCTAGCGTGAGCCTCACATGGGGGAGGAGAGCCCCAGAACATATAGAGCTAGGAGTCTTGGAAGTAAGAGTCCTACCAGTCTGGAAGACCCCAGGTGGCTTATGCTTGCTCCAGAAGGGTCTCCTAGAGCAAATGCCTTGGGCTGGAAGCCATGGCTACTCATTTGCCTCATAGTGTGATATAAAGGCAAAGCTTGGGCTAGGAAGCAGGAGGCCTTGATTCTGGCCTCTCTTCTAGTGCTAACTTGCCAAGTGTCCTTGGGCAAGTCTCTATCACTGTTTTACCGAGGTTTCAAATCTATGTTGTGAAATGGAGGTGACAGTTCCTATTTTGCTGATTTTGCTTGAGTATTTGAGGCTCAAGTGAAATCACAACATGTAAAAGGATGTTAACATGATGATATAAAAAGTAAGAGATTGTTATCTTAAATGGAAATATTTTAGGTCACTAAGGCCTGTTTGTAACATTCAGATCTAAGTTCATCTACATTTTTTTTTTTTGAGACAAAGTCTCACTTTGTCCCCCTCAGTAGAGTGTCATGATGTCATAGCTTACAACAACCTCAAACTCTTGGGTTCAAGTGATTCTCTTGCCTCAGCCTCTTGAGTAGTGGGGACTAAAGGTGCCTGCAACAACACCCAGCTATTTTTCTCTTTTTTTGGAGGTGGGGTCTTGCTCTTGCTCAGGCTAGTCTCAAACCTGTGTGAGGTCAGGACAATCTACCTACCTTGGCCTCCCAGTGTGCTACTAGGATTACAGGCATGAGCCACCACACCTGGCCTCCAAGTTCATCTACTTAAGCACATTTGTTCTGTGCATCTTCTTTGGGCCAGGCCCTGGTTCTCCAAATCATACCTAGTCTTTGGCTTCAAGGAAACCAAATGGAGAGATGGTGCCCTGAAGCACCAGTGGTTACAAGATAGCCAGACTGTATACAGGGTAACATGGGAGGCTATGCCAAGTTCATCTCTTCCCTCATTGTCTATCTACAGTGTCTGCCTCTCCACTGGGCCAGGAAATACCCAAGGCCAGGAACCTCATCATTCTACACCCCAATGTGGGGCTGGCTTGGCATAGAAGCGCCTTCCAGGTGAGTAGGACTAATGAATAAGTACAATAGAGTCATGGAGGAAGAGGAGGGGATGCGAACTGGGAGGGTCCAGAGGAAATGACATCAAGATAATGAGTCTGATTCTATGAGGCAGACAGGAAGGGGAAAGATAAAGGGCAAAGGTTACAGCATGAGCAAAGGCTTGGAGGTAGACACCACGAGCACACCCTGATGTGGCTGGAAGAAGGACATAGGCAGAGGATGGCTAGGAGATGAGACTGAACAGGTTGACAGGGACCAAATCTGCAGACCTTTGTCGTCTCCCCATGAAGTTCATAGGCACATAGGGCTTCATCCTATGGAGGATAGACTGGGGGGAGGGGGAGCGGTGTGAGCAACAGAGGCACCATGAGCAGATTGGTGGGGTAGAAGGATCACCTGGGCTGATAATGTGGCAGTAGGGCCTTCAGGAACAGGGCCATAAAATCTGGTCCCCAGTTTGGCCCCTCCCATGTGGGAACATCCACCAAAGCATACAGAGGCAAGTCCAAGTTCTGAGAGGGACAGTCATTTGCTTCAGTGCCGCCTCACAGAGTGAGCAGCCCCTGGTACCCTGACTTTCAGAACACTCCCCCACCTTGGCCTCTAGCTGTCATGCTCATGGCTACTGCTTATGCAGGTTGGTCCACTGGAATTGGATGGAAAACAAGACCCAGACTTAGAGTAGCCCAGAGTGGAAGTTTCTTGGAAGTTCCACGTGTTCTGGTGCTCGTCTCCCCCATTTGAGGAGAGCACGGGGGTGGGAGTGGGGGCTCACGCTGGGCACAGACTTCTCCTGGCCCCCTCCTCATATATCCTGACATCTCTAGGTAATGACATACTCTGCCCTGCCAGCAGGTATGTGAGCAGGGCGGCTGTGAGATTCTGTTCACCTTACCTTCATCGGCTCCCAACCCAGCCCATGGGTAAAACCAGGGGTAAGTCCAGTCATGCCTCCAGGAAGGTCTTGATTAGGGTGGGCTTTACTAAGGGTGGCTCATCCTATTACCCCTCTCAGTCACCAGCATTGTACTGCCATCAGGGATCATGTGCATGGCTTTATAGTTTGTGAAGGGATTGACACCTTCATCTCTCAGATACCTTATGGTGAAAACATTCTCCCCTTCCCCCCTTACCAATGAAGAGGGTAAGTGATTGGCCTACAAGGTAGAGAGGACACCTTCCCTGAGACAGGCACAGGGAGAAAGCCAGAAATAGTTTTATCAAGCATCCTGCTCTGTGCAGGGCCTGGCTTGTGGGAGCTACCCAGTTCTCACAGGTGCCCCACAAGTGTGGTTACCACCTAGCTTAGCAGGAAAGTGAAGTGACTTTCCCAGGACCGCACAGTGAGTATGTGACAAAGCTGGGGTTCTCAGCCAAGTCATCCTGAGCCCCAAACCCATATGCTTTCCCTCCCGCACAAGGCTGGAGAGAGCCCACCTGGAAGACCAGAACTACTGGACAAAAGCAAACCCCCATCCATTGCCTCCTTTAAGCTTCCCCCACAGCCTGGTGAGGTTGCTCCCATTTTTCTCAGGGAATCAAAGATTTTGCCAGTTGTCAGAGATGGCAATGGGATTTAAGCCACTTGTCATGTCCCAAGGCTAGAGCCCAAGGGGTTAAGCTCATTCCAGTACTCAACTCACTTGAGAGTGGGCCAGCAGAGGTTCTAGCAAGAGAGGGCAGCCTGTCACAGCCCTCTGGCCCAGAAACTCACCCATATCCTTTTCCCCATCCG